ACTGACGACTGAAATCAAACTTTCCGTTTTACTATATATATATGACTTTATATGCTGGCTGTGCTCACCTGCAGACGGCCCTTCTTCTGGCAAGCTTCTCCCCGGAGACCAGATCTTGGCCATTAACGAGGAGACGGTGAGCGACGCCCCCCGAGAGAGAGTCATAGACCTTGTAAGGTAACATCCTTTACTGTCCCAGGAGGGAGGGAGGGGGAGGGAAAGGCAGGGGCCATGGGACCGGCAACACGGGAAGTAGAGAGGACATGGGTACAGGGTGGATCAAAAGGAACAAACAGTTTCTTTTTGCTGATGCGTTACATCAACACAAACCTGTGGATAAATCAGTCCTTTTGCAGCTGAAGGACAGCGAGAAAATGGCAGATATAAACCCTGAGAAGCTCTCCAAATACCATGCTGTACGCGGCGTTATCTAACCCACTCCACTCTCTGTTGTCTTTCCATAGACGCTGCAAAGACACTATAGTTCTCACTGTGCTGCAGCCCCATCAGGTAGTATAATGGGACACTCACTCTCTTTCATGTTCCTCTCCCTCAGGATTTCTTTTACTCTTCACCAGCCTTAACACTTATCATGTCACTCTGAATGATACAGAAACACCGTACAGTATTCTTTTCCAATAGTGCACACTAATGCAGTGCAGACATACAGTACATTAGTATCCTTGGCCATGCCTACACATTAGAGTAATTTCTTATTCAGGTTGCCCCTTTCAGAGTGCCTTGACGTAGGCACACATACACCTACATGAGACCTTATTAAAAGAAAGATTGTGTGTGCAACCATCCACATAGATGGAATTGAAATATACAATTTATTTAGCCAACTAACTGGACTGGATATCTTTACATGATGAAACTGATAAGTTAGGTAAGACAAGATGTAAATCAGATTTTTTCAATTTCATAATTTAGATGCATAAGAGTTAAGCAGCGGTTTTGCAGGGACTAGCCTATGTCTTGGCTCTAAAGTGGTTAACATCATTATTGTGCTCAGAGCAAAAAGTAATTTAAACAATTTAAAAATGTTTAAACTTCTAGCAGGTGAGTTTCATGTTGAAAAGCAGGCCTGCTGTTGTCGCATTGCAGCAGCATTAGCCAGCAGCATTAGCCAGCTCTCCAACACATGTCTCTTTAGCGCTGGCAGTCACAGGGGCTTTTTCTCTCATTTACGTCTCTTCTTTCAAGCTGATTCAAGAGTTTCTCTCTCTCTCTTCTTATCCTCAGTCACCTAAGTCTGCCTTCATAAGTGCAGCCAAAAAGGCCCGCCTGCGAACCAACCCGCCTAAAGTGCGCTTTTCAGAGCAAGTGTCCATCAGCGACCCAGACTCAGTAAGTTCAACTACCCATGTTTCTCTGTGACATGTGCATGCAAACACATGCTGTTACCCTGCCTGTCTTCCTCCGGCTGTGCATTTCTTTTGTTTGATCCACAGTTGTAAAAAGCTTCAAGTATCCTTTTATTTCAGTGAGCCTTTGGTCCAGTGGTTTGGCCTCGAGTAAATTGCTTTTCTGACTGATTTGAATTCTCACAGCAGCAACCAGAATTGCTTTTCAAAGGCATTCAAACATTTTGAAAACAGCCACAATATCAGTTAGAAATCTTAAAATATTTGCAGTTGTTTGGCCGTTAGTGTTCAATCTTATGTCGTTGCACATGGCAGAGCTATCATGTTCCCAATTTTCATACCTGATTAATAGACATCCACAAGCACTTACGCGGCTTGAGTTACTTCAGTGCAATTAAGACCTGCTATGTGGCATACATATGAGGTAAGAGACTGTACACACATTAAGTACCAGGGGATGAGGGAGGTTAGAAAAGTTAGAAGGTAATGTAATTTAAATATTTGTTAGAGTGAGGGTTGTCAGCCTTTTTTAAGACAGCAGGGGAGGATATTTGAGTTTTTTATTCACATATTTGTGAGATTAATTATATAAAAAAGAAGAAGGCTATCATGTGCACTGTGGAGGTATGTTTCCCCACATGCACAGAATATGGGGTGTGGTGTGTGTGCACAAGCCCTTCAGCACAGAGATGTCACCTGTCCTCGTTCACTCCTTTGTTGGCTATAATAATACTTTGGCAGCTCCTTATTCAAAAATAAGGAGTGGCTGTCTTTTCACCATTGTGTTATCGTTGCCATTAATATATTACTTTGAGATATTGTGGGGGAGAAGGTATTCGGCCTTTCAGCACTCCTCCCCACTAAAATAATTTCCATACAGTCCCTAGTGCCTAATGGTCAATCCAGGATCTATGGGGGGAGGAAGGAGGGTACACTGTATATAAGGTGGGAGCACAAAGATGACAAGCAGTAGACAATCAATAAAGAATCAGAAGGAGGAATGGGCATTTCATCATTCTATTTTCTATTTACCTGACTGTAATGGAAGAACGTAGAGAACAGGATTGCTCATCACATGGACCACCAGGTTTCTAATAACCAATGGATAAAGGAGTGATAGGCAGACAGCTCAAGCTCATTTTTCATTACAGTTAATTTTACCATCCACTCTAACCGGGCAGTACCAGGCAACATCATGTGAACCCAGAGATTTCCTTTATTGGAGCTAAATTAATACTTTAGTTAAAGTGAAAGATATTCCCACAAACCAGTAAGACCATCAGCTCCATTAATGGTGAGAGCAACACTGTAGGGGGGCTGGATCGCCTCTCAAACTGAACTAATCTTGAACTTAACTCAAACTCCCTGAATCTCAGAATTCTGAATCCAAATTGATCAGAGCTCAAGGCACTGCTGATGCAGAGATGTGAGGTAGATGCTATGATTGGTAATGATCAGTTGTTTCGGCCACCACCATCCAACCCATGGCAAGACATTTCTTAATCTCTGTCTGCAGTGATCAGGAGCCACAGGCTGATATTGATTACTGAAAGGCTTATCACTAGCCTGGTGTTTATTGAGAGAAAGAAGATGGAAAGGGATGAGGCCATGGCGTTGAGCTGTGATTTGCCCTGCATGTGACAAATCGGCTCCAGTTCACCCACACTAACAAGAACAAAGGTAGTGGCTTGTCATTGGAAGCTAAAGACCTGTTTGTGGCGTGTCTTCACTGGTCCACCCTCGTTTTAATGCTGCAGTATGGAGAAAGATCTGCTCACTCATAACTCAGGCTTTAGTTGCTTCCAATCTGCACAGAAGAACAGCTTGTTGAGCCTTCTGAATACTTGAGTTCTCCAAAAACAGACTGCCGGGCATCTGCTGTGGACACATTTCAACTAAATGCATTTTTTGAGCTATATTGTTGCAGCAAATCCACATCCCTTTACTGTCATGAGTAATGTATGCCTGCTGTTCTTACAAATCCGCATCATCAGATAAAAATGAAGAAGTGTTTAGTTTTGGCCCAAATTTATGGAGGATTTTATTTGGACTGCAAGGCTGCATCTTTGCCACATGTCACATTAAAACAATATATTCTTTCCCTCTGATCACAACTGTGGTTCTTTCAAACTATATAATGAATACTATGTCATTTTCTTAAAAAGCCCTCAGTACAATAAAAAAGAAAGTAGTCAGGATGAGGAGAGTGCCCGTCACATCACATCCTAGCAAGAATGAACTGAACTGCATATCATAACTTTTCTTATAAAGAGTGCTTTGAGTAAAAGCAGTAACCTTGAATCAGGCCTCTCCTCTTATGCCTCCACTCACAAAACTCTGTGGTGAATGCTTTCAATCCCTGCACACCATCCAATTTTCATTGCACAGCATACATATTGAAAGGATAGACTGGATAAATTGAATAAGCCCTTCTTTGATCCTGATACAATGCATGGGACAGGCATCCTAAGGCAGAGTTGTGCTCCTTCTCCGACTCTCCAGACTTCAGTCAAAGAATCACATAAGACACCTTTGTTTATTAGCACTCCTCCTAAAGGAACTTCTCCTTGTTCATTATTTTGGTACAAAGCAGAGACCTACCATTACATCTGATTGTCTTTGTAGGGTACAAATAATTCTTGATTAACTTTTTGACACATTCTCACACATGCTATCTTTTTTTTCACTAAACCAAAGCTGATTTTTTCTCCTAAATCTCTTTCAGACAATGCTCAAGGACGACTCCTTGCTGCTCATACCAAATGTGTTGAAGGTGTTCTTGGAGAATGGACAGATTAAGTCCTTTACATTTGATAGCCGTACCACTGTTAGGGTATGTATTTACTACTGCTGTGCACTTGGGAAAGGTAACTGAATTTCAACATTACCGTGATTTTACTTAAAGCAGCCATAATACAACATCACTCGTAGTCATGAACCCACAGATAATTACCACCCAACTCTATGGAGCATGTTTAATGCTTTTGTTCACTCTCACCACTCTCATCAGTGTCTAATTCCAGTTGCAGCAGGCAGCTTTAAAGACTAAAACTCAGATCAACTGCACAGCTCAAAATGGTAGGCAGAGAAAATTAGCAACAAGCTGGTGAACATAGTGGAAGCATATAGCAGCTAAAGAGCCAGTTACATTTCTCAGGAGCTAGTAAAGACCAAAAACAGAGTTAAAGGAGAGTGAATATTGGACTCGTGTTCGTCAAGTGGCCGTAAACACGACTCTAAATGAATGCCAGTGTTGCTACTTGTCTGCTGGATGTGTAGCTAAGCATATATTTGCAAACACACAACGTCATATGGTGATAATATGTCAAGGTTGATGCACTCCCCCCACTTGGCCAAAATAATCAATTCCTAACACTTAGCCTCACATCATAAATACACAAAACATGAGCGAACTATTGTTGCCTTGTTGGTGGTTATTTAATATGGCATAACTATGGATTTTTAGCATTATATAATACAATGATTGTTTTAAAGCTTCATGTGGAGCGATTATCAATACAACCCAGGCGCAAGTTCTCACATATGATTTCCCACACATCTTCAAGGTCTGTAACACACAAATTGACACTTTAACCATAAATCACTTTCAAATTCATATCTAATAAGCAATTGTAAACAGAAAAAAACTCCTTTAATTTGTGAAACTTCACCCTATCAGTTTTTGGAATTTAAAATCTCAGTATTGTGATGAAGACCATAAAGCAACAAATTAATTCAGTCAGACAGAGGTCATTTCTGTCTCCATGTCAGCCTCTAAGATGAGTCTGACATCTCCGAGCAGACTCATTAAACGGACTCTATTAGATTTCACAAATCTCTCCCCTACTCATGGAGGGAGAGTGAGCGAGAAAAGGAGAAACACAGAGGCACTTTAAAGGAGACATGGAAGAAGCTCGCCCCTGTCAGCTTAATTAAATGGAAATTCAGCATAAGAAGGCCCATATCAATAAAACAATACCACCGATTAAATCAGTGGCACAATAGGATGCCCAGTTGTATGCCCATTAGACTGTCTGTCAACTAAAGAAGCTTTCCTGCAGTATTTTAAGCTGCAATCTATAGCTTTCTGTGGGTCTTTCAGTTAATTGTGTGGCTTCCCCAGGTGTCATTTAATGCAAACCGCACAGGTCAATACTGTTACATCTGCTTATCCCTGTTTTTCAGAGACAGTTGTTGCTTAGGTTACATCAGGGAGTGTCAGTTTAACTGTTTGTGGAGAGCACAGCATTAGTGTACATACTTTAAAGCTTTTAATGAGCCTCCATACTCACATGCTTACAGTAACATATCACTACAGTGGAATCCCTTTTAATTTTTCATACCTCTAATATATTAAAAGGGCAAAGAAATAATGAAACATTATCCTCAGGTATAGCCCATGGTAAGATGTGATAAACAGTGAATTTCCCCTCAGACAGTGTTCTCTGTACATTTTAGAAAGAGGATATGAGAAAAGAGCTACATCATTCCAAGATATTGATCTGCACAAGAGCTTGCCCTGCACACCCTGGCATGCAGACGTTATTTTCTTAAATAGGACGCACTCACTGTGCAGAATTTATAATATCTATGGATTCTCTCCATAGCAAAAAATGACAAATGATTTCAAAGTAAAGAGCCTAAACAGATCACAAAGATATACAATTGACAAACTACCCTAGACAAACCTGGAGTGACTTCAGGGAGAAAATAAGCCTCTATACGCCAAATACATATTTTTTGTTGCATTAAAGCACATTCTTACTGTGGAAATCTCTTTCAATTTCTAATCTGTTTTCATTTCTCTTCTCCAGGATGTGATCTCCTCCCTGCAGGACCGCCTCTCACTGCGCTACATAGAGCACTTTGCATTGGTGCTGGAGGCAGGTGGTCTGGACCAGAATCAGAGGTTGCATCTGCTGCAGGAGAACCAGCCCCTGACACATGTAAGAAACGCAAAAAAGGAAAACAAGTATAAGACATGTGTTGCAGTGGATGGATATGTATGACAGCAATAACAGCAACCCCAAGCTGTTAACAATACAAAACATGACCAATAACTGTGGTTTGCATTCAAACTTGGTGTTTGTTGCCTTTGGTTTGAGTTGAGTTTGGTTTGGACAAATGTTCTAGGTATGGGGATTCTGTGTGGTGTGGTTCTGCTGCCCCGCTATTGCTCAGAAAAACTGGCAGTCATATTGTGAGGAAATCTGGAAAGCAAGCAGAGAGCTCTGATGTGATCAGCATCAATACCACTACCTAAAAGCTGAAATTAAAATGATTTCCACAAGAAGCAAGATGATTCTGATCACTGAAACAACAATTTTAGGTGCAAACCACATTTCTTGTAGTTTCAGCCCTGTCTTATATTTTGGGCTGTTGGTTGTTGGTTTGCAATCTACGTTTCTTTGGATTTCTTCACTTGGACAAAACTCGATCCATACACACTTGCTATAGGATTGTGAACATCCAGAATGCAAACTATCACACTCACCTATGGAAGATGATAATGTGATATGTGTGACTTATGCCTAAAACGTGATTATCCAGCTGATACTGTCGTATTCCCTCAGGTGGTGCATAGAACCTATTTCCAAGGGATGAAGTGTCTATTTCGCATCTGCTTCTTCCCCAAGGACCCTGCAGACCTGCTGAGAAGAGACCCCGCTGCATTTGAGTACCTCTATATACAGGTAAAGTACTGGATTAAAGGGGTGTTTAAAAGTATGTCCTTCACTCTTATGACACTGCTGGAGAGCTGTCTCCTCAAAGCTCAGGGGGTGCCAAGAGTGAGCCAATGATTGGAAGTTCTTATAGGTAGCTAGTTTTATTTACTGTTTCTCTTAGATTTTGATCACATTTGCCTTCTTTGACTGAGTAGAAAGGGTTGCATATGCTAGAGTCCAACTTTAGACACAAGCTCTCCGAAAACGCTTTCACATTTACTGCAGAAATCCAAAAGTCTTATGAATTTGGAAGCTGCCTCTGGCAAATAAACTAATGATATGACTTACAGAAGGATTCCAGTCTTTCACAGTGTTGTTTGCGGTCAGCTGTGTACCAAACAACATTTCATCATGTCTAAATAGAGTCGCAATGACGTCATCAAGGAGCGCTTTGGCATGGACTGGAAATCTGACATCACGTTACGATTGGCTGCGCTCCATATCTACATCACTGTGTCCTCCGCACGGCCCAATCAGAAGATCTCTCTCAAGCATGTCGAGTAAGTCCACAAACTCAATTAGCCTTCAAATGAACTTATGAGAAATTACAGACAAAAACTGATGTATTGCAATTTTTACCTCATTAACAATTCTGCATAGCATATCAGTGAGTCCCACAATGAAGTTTGTTCATTAAATAATGTCTAAATGATTGATAATCAATCCCAATAGTATTAAAAACTCAAATTACTTAAGGATCATTTTCCTGAGGTCGTTATGGGACAAAGAAATCCATTGCTTTGTGAAATTACATCTCTCCCTCAATCTGCTCATTTATTCTTAAAAACCTCAGCCTAGCAAGTAATTAGTGTCTGCCATCACAACTAGAGAAGCAAAACAGATCCACTGTGCCTGTAATAGACTTGTGGTCATAGGGTGGTCATGTTAGGCCAGGGGTCGTAGGGGATGTAAGCTAGGCTCTTTGTGTCTTATGGGATGAAAAAACTCCTTTGTTTTCTTTCTTTGTTGTGACATCTTCCCTGGACTCAGATTAACCACTCCACTGTTGTTTTTCTCTTGGGTGCATACTTCTGCCATCTTTCCCTTTGCTTTTGATCACAGAAAAGAGTGGGGGCTAGAGCCTTTCCTTCCGCTCACTCTGCTTCCAACAGTCAAGGAGAAGAATGTGTGTAAGAGCCTGTCTCAGTTGCTGAAGACCTACCAGCATCCACCACCATCGGGCAACAAGGTTTCTCCATGTTGACAATAATTATTAATCGTAACCATTTCCATGACTGAAATATCTAGACAATTCTTTGTGGGTGATTTAACTGCCTTAGGTTATGCTGATACTGTAACACATTTAAACACATTGCAAGTACATAGAGACATCTTTGGGCTTTAAATTGCTAATAATACATACATTAATTAACATTTAAATCTCAACCCATTGCTGCTCCTTTAGAGCAGATTTAATATAGCGTATTCTATGGTTATGTCTGCTTGATAACTAGTCCTTTATCTTAGGACAAGCCCTTCAGCTCTCAGCTCTGTAGATGTAACTGTTGCATAAGACTTTATGATCAACATTTGTGGCTCAACAGTGCCCCCAGGTGGATGTACGAAGTGCTGTGTGTAGAAGTGCTTTCAAAGATCAGAGTTTCTTGTTTATCATTCTATTGACAGGTTCCTCCTCTCCAAGGAAAGCTGCAGTACATGCGTGTACTCAACGACCTCCCACCTTTTGGTGGAATACTGTTCCACACTGTTGGACTGGTAATACATTTTTTAAATATTTCTTTACAGGATTAAACATGTATCTCTTTTACTTAATTTCTTATTCCATTCATTTTTCTTTTGCGTTTGTGCATGTAGTCACACAAGGAGCGTTTTAAAGAAACTGTCTAAACAGCAGATTTTGTATAGTAAGTAACACAAACAGTTGTAAACCTCCTGTGTTCTCCTACAGGATGAGAAGCAATCAGCTACAACACTACTGGTGGGTCCTCGACATGGCATTAGTCATGTGATTGACCTGAAAAACAACCTCACAACAGTTCTAACCGAGTTCAGTAGGGTTGCCAAGATCCAGCTCTACAGAGAGAGCCAAGGAGTGGCTCGTGTGGAGGTGACAATCCATGAGGCCAAGGTATTACAACACAGTCTCTAAAGATGCACACTACGATTCCATGTGATTTGACAACACACACCATTTTGCAAATATGTATTTTACATGCCTTTAGAGGTGCAGTTTCCATTTTAACTTTATGTAAGTGATAAAATGACTGAATACAAAACCATTCTAAAGTTTTCATTACAAAATGAGCAGGCAATGCTCATTGCCTGTCCCCTAAATAGTCTCCTAATTCCCCTCCCTACCACCCTCTACAGCCCCTGGTCCTACTCATGGAATGGCCTGATGCCAGTAACTTTGCATGCCTCATCTCTGGCTACTACAAGCTGTTTGTAGACCCTAAACGGACCATCTACTTCCGGACCCCTGGTCAGTCTCAGCTGACCAAGGCAGGTATGTTAGAAGTCTTCTTGACATGTAGGGGTTCATTTTGAACTCAAATGTTATAGAATTTATAGAAAACAATTTTGTTTACTTAAAAGCTTAAGATGAAGCATTCATTGTGATATGATATTGGAGTTGTGTAAATGAAAGTGTCTTTCTTTCAACATCATATTAGACACTGCATGTCGGCCAGTATTTGGCAATCGTCATTACATGTTCAGTCTACATGTTTCTTCATTGGCTGAAACCATTACCTGTAGTAACCAGGGTATCCTGGAACTACCATCCCATGGCGCCCCCTGCTGTCTCTCCTTTCATCTCAATCTTGACTCATTGGAATGGGATACACCACATTTCTTTATGTCCAAGATAGAATAAGATTATGGCAATTTACAGTGAATTGTACTCTTTGCTGTATTCATAAATATTTACTGTTCAAACATGAACAGATCCTCTACCATCTGCTCTCTCAGCCTGTAGTCCACATAAAAGGAGGATCATCATACCATCACATTCCACCAGAATCTAACCCTCCAACCTCAAACAAACTTCAACTTTCAACATCCATCTCTGCAATAACAAATAATCCCCATGTGACCACCAGCTGTCACCTCTGCTTTCCCATCTGGATCTTCTCTATACCCACTAGTTCTTAACACCTCAAACTCTCCACTGCTTTGACAATTCTATCCTCAGATTACAGAAGCTCCCACCATGCCCACCCACGTTCTGGGGCAACCAGCCTGCCAAGTGGAGGGCGGCGAGGGGACGAGAGGGAAGGCTCACACAGGGAGTCAGGGTCTGCAAGGGCCCTAGTTCCAGCAGAGCCTCAGCATCTAGGCCTGTGTCATGTCCACCTACGAGAACAACAACAATTTCAAGACCAGCAAACACACGCCGAAGCTGAACTCGACATCAACGAAAACTTTATTTCCCAAGAGCCCCCTGGGCGGCCCCGTACCAAGTCAGACCCAACCCAGCAGAGTACAGAGGAAATAGCAGGGGTTTTAGAGAGCCCAGCAGTGGAGAATACAGGATTTAGAATCCGAGCCCAAACAATGGGTCAATCCCAGAAAACATCACGATACTTCTGTGACTCCTGCAAAGCCAGGCATAGGGCAGAGGGTCTGTCAACAGCAGTAAACAGTACTGGGAGCTCGGGAAAACACTGCTCCAGTGCTTGTGCCTCCCGAGATGGAGGCGCTGTTGACCTTATGGCCCTACCGCCCCCAGGGAATGAAGAGGAGGATGAAGCAGATGGTGGAGGAGAGAAGCTGCAACCACCACCACCTGCTATTGCTGCACCACCACCTGGCTTCAGGGACAACAGTTCAGATGAGGATGACACAAAGAGAGGGAGGAAGGCTCGAACTGGTGCCAGCCCAGGGGTCGCCTCTGGAAAGCTGACCCATGCCAAGGAAGATGTTCCTGTGACACTGATTGATAATGTGACCACAAGAACAGTCCGAGATCACGCCCAGGAGCTTGATGATGCTCTAGTGTCCACCTTACAGGCGCTAGAGGCTTTGGCAGCCTCAGAGGATTACCCCCATCACCCTCAACAGCCAACACAGACTGCAGGTTAACAGCCTCAGTCATGCCACGGCCCACATCTCACACACAAAATTAACAGCAGTACTGATCCAATAAAATGTCACTTAACAATGTATATTACACAGCACATTTTGCAGTAGATCATATTGTTATTATTAACAAAGTGAATATCTTTCTGAAATATCCAGACAATCCTGTA